TGTTTTATTTTTTCATTTGAAGCAAAACTTGCACTGACTGGTCGACTTACAAAACGTTCCATCCTTTCTGTTGCACCATCACTTTACGACCCACTTGGACTTTTAGTTCCTGTTATTATAACATCAAAAATTTTGTTGCAAGAAATATGGCTACTAAAGTTAGATTGGGATGAACCTGTGCCACGGAACATTGAATTTGCTTGGAAAAAGTTTCTTAACTGCTTATCGGATCTTGCACTAATTAAAGTGCAAAGGCACTGTTTTTCGACAGATGTGGAATCTCTTCAGATACATGGATTTTGTGACGCATAGATTCGTGCATATGGCTGCGCAATATATAATCGTGTTATCAACAAATGTGGCACTACTACTAACATTCGCCTACTCACTGAGAAGCCCAGAGTGGCACCCACCAAAAAACAATCGTTACTCAAATTAGAACTTTGCGGCGCTCTTCTTCTTGCTCGTCTTTTAGCAAAAATTAAACCAACAATTTCTAATAAATCTTTTAACATTTTTCTTTGGACAGACTCACAACTAGTATTACATTGGCTTAAGATGCATTCTGCAACACTTTCGACTTTTGTTGGTAATCGAATTTCGAAAATTCAAGATTTAACCAAAGGCGCCCATTGGAGACATGTTCCAACGTATTGTAACTCGGCGGATGCTGCCTCTAGAAGATGTACTGTAAACGAAGTTGTTAATTCAATATGGTACACCGGACCAAAGTTTCTATACGAAAACTCAGATAATAAAGAACAGCTGCGATGATATCGACATGGAAGTTGTCAATATGGAAAAACGAAAATCAGCATTCAATACAATTGTTAGCACCAATTACATTTTGGAAATTGTGAATCAGCGGATTAACTACACACACTCCTGCGAATGGCAGACACCTTGCCGTGGTGCAGGGGCTTAGGTCGCAAGGCATTCTCGGCATCTCCCAACCATTGCGAGAAGTGCTGCCTAGCACCTCTCACACGGGTTGTCAGAAACCGCATGCGTGCGACAACCAAGAGCTGCCAACTCCTAATCCAGGGTGTTATGCGACTCCCTTGCCCATTGGATGATTTGCAGCCAGGAGGTAAATTCGGCTGTATTCTAACGGAGCTTTCCCAACACCGGGCCGCATTGGGAAGTAACAGTGGCCTTACCGCGACATAGGGCTCTGGCGGGGTGGACTTTCGCGTTGCCCTCACAAAACGTAGACCGGACGGCTCGCCATGTCGAGCCTAAGGTCGTAAGAAACAGAATGGAGAAAACAAAACAAAAAATAACTAACTTAACAACGGAAAAAAAAGGGCAACAACAACAGCAAACGGACAAGGACAAGGCCAAGAAGACCAGCGCCAGTGCAGGTAAGGGAGCTTCAGGGGCTAAACAAAAGTTTAGCTTCCTGGACGCCCTTTCGCCAGAAGAGCGGGAGCTGTTCGAGGAGCATGCAAGGGAGGACGATGACGACATACCCTCGTGCAGCGGCGCTCAGCAGGTGAAATTGACTGCGGTCGGCGATGAAAAATCGAACCCCAAAGAGGCTCCCCCGAGCAGGATCACCTGCTCGGATTCGAGCGACTCGGAACCGGCATCAACCAGGAGGGGAAGACTCCGGAGGAAGCCGAAAAGTTGGCGCGCAACAGGGTGAGAGGAAACAATGCCTCCCCTGCCTCAGAGAAGCGGAAGGGTTACGCCCGGTTAACGCAACTCAGGTCGCAAGGCGGGGTTGCGAAAGGGCAGCGCCTTCGACCAACCAAGCCGCAAAGCGCAAGAGTGGTCAACTAACGCCACAGGAGCCGCCAAACACCAAGCGGCAGAAAGGAAGCAGCACACAGGGGACCGGAGGCAACCACTCCGCCCCAAACCCCCCCACTCTCTGCGATATTGTACAAAGGGGATTAAGGCTGGCAAAGGAATGGTGTAGTGGAGTTGGCCTAAACATCAACCCCTCCAAAACTACAATCATACCATTTACCAGACGCAGGTTGCTGCCAGGCCTCAGAAACCTATCCCTAGGTGGAACAGAGTTGGAGATGGCCAGCACGGTAAAGTACCTGGGCCTCACGCTGGACTTCACTCTACGGTGGAAGCAGCATGTAGACCTAACCGCAGCCAAAGCTACGAAAGCGCTCATGGTGTGCAATCGACTTGCTAGGAAATCATGGGGCTGCAACCCAAAGATTATCAGATGGTTGTACACCATGATTGTTAGACCGATCATAACATATGGAGCGGTGGCCTGGGGTTCCAAAGCAGCGCAGACCTCGGTAGGACTTCGACTATCGAGGCTGCAGCGACTTGCCTGTATCTGCGCGTCGGGCGCGATGCGTACGTGTCCGACTGCAGCACTGGAAGTAATGCTGAAGCTAACACCGCTACATATAGTGATCGAGCAGACGGCCAAACAGACCTTGCTTCAAATTTCAGCAGAAGGGTCTGGCAAAGGGAAGGTAATCTCGTCCCAGTAGATGAAGGCCTTAAGTGACGCAATGCCACTGGCCCTTCTTCCAAGGGAGTATTACCAAAACAGTAAGCTTCACTAGGAAGTTCAGGGTTACCCTTGGCAGTAAGGCAGAATGGAACGACTCCACGCTGGACCTACTACTAAGGAACAGTACTATCAAGTGGTACACCGACGGCTCGAAAACGGCGGAGGGGATTGGCGCAGGGGTCGCAGGACCACGCACCAAGCTCTCCATTCCCATGGGAAGTTTTCCTAGCATATTCCAGGCGGAGGTATATGCTATAAGTCGGTGTGTAGAAATAAACCTCCAACGCGACTACCGCAATCAGAGCATCGCCATACTCAGCGATAGTCAGGCAGCACTTAAAGCAATCTCGGCTTTTGAGGTCAAATCGCTACTAGTGCAGGAGTGTATAGAACGGCTGAACAGCCTATCAAGTTTCAACAGAGTGCACTTCATCTGGGTGCCTGGTCACAGGGGTATAGCAGGAAATGAACTTGCTGACGAGTTGGCCCGCTCTGCAGCCTCTACAAACATAGTAGGACCAGAACCGTGCGTAGCGGTGGGTCCACATACCATTAAGGAGCTGCTCCATAGAGAGGAAAGAGCAGGCAGGGAGAGACACTGGCAACATCTCCAAGGCATGCACCATGCCAAGTTGCTAATGGGGGGCTATAACCTCAGACGGTTTAAAACCGTAATCAATCCCCCGAGGAACAAATTTCGACTTCTGGTCGCGTTCTACATCGGACATTGCAGGCTTAACAAGCATCTATTTAACATGGGCTTGGTCTTCTCTGCAAACTGCCGGTTCTGCGACATGGAGTCGGAAACCCCAGAACACCTACTAATGGAATGCACAGCTGTCTGCAGACGTAGAGTCAAGGCCCTGGGATCCATGTTTCCAAACAGGGATCGCATCGCCTCATTGGCGCCTAGCAGTATATTGGAGTTCATCAATACGCTAGGGCTAGATGAGTCGCTGTGACTTAGGGGAGGGCACAATAGATCATAGGTCGCGGTGCATACCTCAATCACTATCTAATCTAATCTAACTACACACATTTCGACATGGTGCTAATCTTAATGACTCATTGACACTTTCACCACAAGAGTTACATTACGCCTTTATTTGCATAATTTGGAATATTCAACACATACATTTCGCTAATGAAATTCATCTTTTACAGAAAGAGCTTACGATAAATGGCCCGTTACGTTATTTAAATCCTTTTCTCGAGTATACCGAAGGATTTCAAATACTCAAAGTTGGAGGTCGATTGGAATCAGCAGATATTCCAGAAGAAAGGGAACACCCAATGCTGTTGCCAAACAAATGCGAATTTGTTGTGCTTACGTTCGTCATCTACATCCGAAACACTACCATGCAGGACCAAAGGCACTCGTAGCACTGATAAGACTCCAGATTTGGATAGTCAATGCGCGCGATTTAACAAGGCGTATCGTCAGATCGTGCACACATTGTATACGCTACAAGCCAAAGCTGATGAACCAAGTAATGGGATAATTACCTGTCGAGCGATTAACTCCATCTCGTCCTTTTGCGCGGTACGGTATTGATTTCTGCGGACCAGTCAACGTATATTTGCGTATTCGAGGCAAAACACCTTATAGAGCGTACATTAGGATCTTCGTTTGTCTAGCGACAAAGGCGGTTCACATCGAACTAGTACCGGATCTATCCACGGACGCATTCTTAGCGTCATTGAAGCGCAGGATTGGAAGAAGAGGTCTACCCTCTGACATCTTTTGCGATAACGCAACAGATTTTGTGGGCGCTTGCAACAAACTAGCTGAGTTAAAGTCAGCAGTCAAATCGGCTAAGGGTCACCTCAACCGCACCATCAAAAATACAAGACTCACAGCTATGCTCTCACAGCATAGGAGCTGTATTAAATTCTCGTCCAATAACACCAAATGATTATGAAGTATTAACTCCGGTGCATTTTCGAACGATTCGGCGACCAATTCACAAGCTAGCACTTCTACCTGTTTGAAATGCCTTCCGACGAGGCCGGGATGATGGGTCACCGATAGAGAACTACTGCATTATACGGTCATATGTTCTATATATTTTTGCTATTTATTGTTCTCTACTTATTTGCCTAATATTCAAGGGCAAGCAAATCAATGCAGTTAATAATTGTATTTGCATTGTGTACATACTTACATATTTATTGCTTGCTTGCGCTTGCTTTTTACACTTGTGCTACCGCTATGTTTTCGTCCACGTAATTATATGAATATTTGTTTGTGCACATTAGCTAGTCCCATTTAACATGTACTAAGCTTAATATGTAAGCAGCCTCTTGCGATACTGCGTTCCCATTCTTTTATGTTTCTTTTTTTGTTAATAACTACATTATATACGAAGGAGCAATAGAGTAAAGTATGTACTCTATGGTTATTCTCCTTTTAGGAACTGTTAAATTTATATAACTTACATACTTATGTATATATGCACTAATAGAAAGCGAAACTATGTACCTAGTGGAAATTATGTATTGAACGGTATTGCAATATTGTTTAGAATATTATTTAAGGAGAATTTTGCAAAAAAAACTTTGTAGCCCTACAATATGTAAGAAGCACATTTATAGACATTGAAATTAAAAACCAATTCCGAACATTCCACATTCACCTATTTTTTAATATTCTTGTCCAACAGTTCATATCCAGGTATTCCCTGCACAAAACGCTTACAATCTGATCCAAAATATTTATTTTGGTTTCTTCTGGAAGTAAAACCTAGGACTAGAAAAATTCTATTGATTTTTATTTCAATATGGTATTTTTTTCAATTAAAACCTTAGTCCAAAAATCCAAGTTTTCATGTTGATACTTTTTGGCAAAGACCAACCTAGACTTTTGAGTCTTATCGAGCTAAGTGGTTTTCGGCGATTCTCCATAGCATAAAACTTGCCGGCAAATCGTTTCCGCACAAATTTCTACGTTTTTTCCTTTTGAAGTTGTTTTTTCAAGTCTGTATCAGATAACTTAACTACAATTGCGGTCATCAATTTTCCATCTGTTCTTTCAATTTCGCTTTTAATCACATGCTTTGCCAGTTACTTTATAACCTTTAAATAATATTATGCACTATGGCCTTTTTTTCCAACAATTTCACTGATTTCGCGAATGGACTTCTTGTCATTATAATTTTTTATAATATTTTCCCGTTCTTCAATTGTTGTTTGACACATTTTGTGTGAATTGAGCTCAACACAATTCTCGCTGACGGGCAGGAAAATATAGTAATAAAACTATCTCTTTAACCTTCAAAATAAATGAAAACAAGTAAGGAAGGGCTAAGTTCGGAAGTAACCGAACATTTTTTACTCTCGCAAAGTCAAATGGTATACTCGTTTTAGATTTCTTTGTGGATCTTGCCGCCTAGTTCTATGTTGACCGATATATTCGGTAAAAAGTCAGCTATAGGCACTGGGGTCCACATATTCATTACCTAGGGGCTTGAACAGTTTTGACTCGATTTATACAATTTTCGGTCACAAGGTGGCATACTTCAAACGCATTATTCACGCAAAGTTATACCCCGATATAATCATTTTTTCTTGATATACATAGTGGAAAGTGACAGAATCAGATGGAATAGAAAATAATGTTATTATATATGGGAAATAGGCGTGGTTGTTATCCGATTTCGCCCATTTTCGCACTTTAACATGGAGAAGAATGTTATGTACCAAATTTGGCTGAAATCGGTTAAGCAGATCCCAAGATATGGGTTTTCACCTAAAAGTGGGCGGTGACACCCCCACTGACTAATTTTGAACGCGGTTCCTATAAAGCCATCTCATACCATCCCAGAGATAAAATTTAATGTCTCTGGCGTGTTTAGTGCTTGACTTAGAGTGAATTTTGGTATTATAGCATTAGCGGTTTAGGAGATATACAAATTAAACCTATTAGGGGCGGGACCACGCCCACTTTAAAAAAAATTTTAACTGCAGATGCCCCTTCCTATTGTGATCCTGTATACTGAATAAGAGTCTTGTATCTTGTTGTGAAGCTAAGTTACGGCAATTTATTTGTTTTTGAATAATGGCGTTTTGTGGGCGTGCCAGTGGTCCGATTACGCCCATCAGCAACCAAGAAACATGTCTGAATATTATGCTACAATGTTCGCACATCACCAATGACATTATTACTTCCTTTTTTTTCACAAAACGCCTTTTTGAAGTTTAAATTAAAATGTTCTTTATTTTTCTTATTAAATGTTATTTTTCACAAGTTTTTTATTGGTTTAACACCTTTTTTGATAAAAATTAATAAAACGATTTTAAGCTCAGAAAGTCTTGACGGTTGGTAGCGGAGATAGCGATTTCATACGATGACGTTGCGCAAAGAGGCTGGTGGTCGCTCGTCGTCCCCTTTTTACCTCTTTCGGTGTGGTGTGTAGTGTGTCTTCATGTGTGGTGTGATCGTGATGATAGGGTTGGTGTGGAATGTGTGTGGGATGAGTTGAGTTACTCATTTAACCATCCCGGCCCACCTAGGCAAATATTTAGCCTAGCAAATTCTGAAGTTGTTGCAGCGTTGCTACCACACTGCTGAGGCCAGTGGGGCGGCGGGATGATGGTCTGGGCCGTCGGCGCCGTGCAGGTGTTTCGTTCCTTATATTCCTGGGACGATACTGTGGGGCGGCAGCTGGGCGTTGATGTTGTATCGGGTGGCTGGGCGGGGGGCGCCTGACAGCGCCGCGACTGCATGGTGCGGTTAGTCGCCGAACGTCGCGCCTAGAGGTGCGGTGAAGGAACGTATGGTGTAGCCTTCCGCACAATTGACACGAATACTCCGAGTCACACTCTTGCGTTGTATGGGTGAGACTTAGGCAATTGAGGCAGTGTCCATGCGTCTGGGCTACCCGCTGACGTTGACTAGGTTGCATTGATTTAAAGATGCTACAGTGCTGTAGCCGGTGTGAGCGGCGACACAGCGGACATCGGGTGCAGTGCGGCTCCGGTGGCATCAATTGCGACGCTGGCGGTGGTTGTGCTGTGTTCCGCGCGACAGCTGTGACAGTTGTTGCAGCGGTGGCTCGAGGCGCTGGAATCGGCCCAGTGCGTGGCACATTGATAGCCATCGAACGGTTGGCGTTGGATTTGTCGGCATTTCCGCGTCCATATTAATCTGTATGAAAGGATTAGATTTAGTATATGTTTGTGGCATCTAATTAAATATGGGCAATTGTGCTACGTGATGTGGCACGCGTGGGTCGGCATATTAATCGACCATTTCTGTTTAGTTTGCGATTGTTGTTAATGTTGTTTATTTTTATTTATTTGTGGGTTTATTGACTCGATTTATTTAAATTGAATACCATTTTAGTTTCGGTAGTACGGTCGGTGGGCAGGAAGCATAGTTTTACGAGCGGTCTGGTTACCGTTCCGGATTGCGTGCGGAGATCTACTATTCGGATATGACCGTCGGACCCGGAATGAAGCTTTTCTATGCGCCATTCTGTGGGGGGAGACAATCATCACGGATTAGGACGCAATCTCCACGCTTTGGCGCTTTTTCTGGAGTTTTCCATCGGTACCTCTTGTGGAGGTCCTTTAAATATTCTTCTTTCCATCGACGGCTAAAGTCATGATGGAGAATTTTGATTCTTTCCCATCGATTTAATAAGGATAGCGGGATTTGAAGCTTTTTACAGCTGATTCCCATAAACCACCCTTATGAGGAGCGCTTGGGGGCATGAATTGCCAATTAATGCCTTGGGACGCGTACTTTTGTACAATCTCAGGTGAGACTTGTTTGATAAAGTCCACAAGTTGTTTTTCGGTGGCTCTTTGAGCGCCGATAAATGTTTTACCATTATCGCTCATGATCTTCGATGGAAAGCCGCGTCGACCGACAAAGCGAGCAAATGCCGCAAGAATAGCCTCCTTCTTCAGATTAGTACAAAGCTCAAGGAGCACTGCTTTTGTCGTAAAACAGACAAAAACAGCCACATAGCCTTTCATCAGAGTGGGAGACCTTGAGATGGACGCCTTTATTTGAACAGGCCCAGCAAAATCGACACCTGTGATGGAGAAAGGCAGAGCGAAGTTGCAGCGTTCCGGAGGAAGTGCTGCCATAATCTGTGTTCGCATCTTTTGCTTGTGCGTGGTTCAGATTTTGCCAAGAAAATGCACTTCTTTATTTGGTGCTAAAGTCGGGGAATGTAAAATTCCTGGCGGACCATATGTTGCATGAGACGATGTTCGGCATGAAGCATTAATATGTGGATATAACTGATGAGTAATGTTGCAAGTTGAGACTTCTCTGGTATAATTGTGGGATGGCGTTCGTTAAACGTTAGGCTTGAATTGGCAAGCCGACCATTCACCCGAAGCAGACCTTTCGTGTCAATGAATGGATTTAGTACTAAGAGTGAGCTTTTTTTATCAATTGGCTTCGATACTCTTAGTAATGATATTTCTCGGCTGAAGTAACGCGTTTGAGTAGATGCGATAAAAGCGACCTTTGCTTTTTGTAAGTCTAGGTGCGTCACTGTATCGCGTTGAGAATCTAATGAGGTTACTCCCTTAAGTTTAATTTTCAGTAGCTCTATGAACTTGAGCATGTAAGCGATTACCCTGGGTGCTCGGGGGTACGAGGAAAATCGCTCGAGGATGTCATTATCCTGCAATGTTGTGTGAAAGAAGTCGATTTTTCGACTCTCTGGGGCAATTATATTACGCATGGGCGATTGTGGCCAAGACTCGGGAGATTCTATCAACCATCGGGGGCCATTCCACCAGAGGGTGGTGGTGGCAAGGTGCAGGGGTTTGCACCCTCCTGTACCTAGATCAGCTGGATTGTCAGCAATGGCTACGTGTCGCCAGGTGGCTGATCCTATTAGGTCAAGTATTTGAGACGTTCGATTGGAAATATACGTCTTCCATGCGTGTGGTGGTTTTGCTAACCAGGCTAGTACGATTTCAGAATCGGACCACAGATACAATTTGTATTTTGCCATGTTTAAATGCATTCGCACCATGGATACTAGTTTGGCTAGTAATAGCGCTCCACACAGTTCAAGTCTTGGTAGACTTATTGTTTTTAAAGCAGCTACTTTTGCCGTTGCTCCTAGTAAGTGGCTTGTGGTTGCAGTGTCGCTTTATGTGCAAACGTATAAAGTGCGCCTTTTCAGAGGCGTCACAAAAGCCGTGTAGTTCGACTTTGTGCTCTGGGGCATAATTTACCCATCGTGGGATTTGTATCTGTGGGATATCGTTTAGATTGTTCGCAAACTGGGAACACTTTTGTAATCGAAGTGGTTTTACTTGTTCGTTCCAGTTTGTTCCATCTAGTCATAATTCTTGTATTAGGATTTTGGCTTGTATCATAACTGGCGAAAGCCATCCTGCGGGGTCGATAAGTTTCCCCACAGTGGAAAGAATTTGTCGCTTTGTTATGGCGGATAATGCTGATATTGACTCTGTAGTGTATGAAAGCTGGTCAGATATCACATTCCATTGGATCACTAGAGTTTTTGTTGTACTTTCCTTTTCGAATTTAAGAAAATAAGTGTCCAACAGACTTTCTTTAGGTGCGTCCTTTAAGATATTAAGGTGGTTCGGAGTTATCTTTTTTAACGGAAACCTTGCGGTTCTGAGGTCTTGTGTCACTTGAGCTAGTGACTCGTATGGTTGTTGAAGACTGTGACTTCCAGACAGGATATCGTCTACATACGTTTGTGTTTTTAACACCTGGGTTGCCAGAGGAAATTCTGACTTGGTGTTTTCTGCCAATTCGTGCAGTGTTCGAATGGCTAGATATGGAGCACAGTTGACGCCAAAGGTAACTATTTTTAATTTATAGTCGCGGAGTGGACTATTGGGGGATTTTCGGAAAATAATTCGCTGAAAATCTTGATCGTCTTTATGTACGACTATTTGCCTATACATTTTTTCGACGTCTACGTTAAATACGTATTTGAATATACGCCAATTTCAAATGAGTAGCATTAAATCTGGTTGGAGCGTAGGTCCCGTAAATAGAATATCATTTAGGGAACTCTCCGAGCTAGTGGATCTTGATGCAATAAAGACAACTCTTACTTTAGTTGCTTTTTTGTCTGGCTTTACTACTGCATGGTGCGGCAAGTAAAATGAGTAGTATTTGCCGTTGATGATTTTTTCGCATGGG